CCCCAAAACCCCAAAACCCCTTAGGACAATATTGAGAGCAAATATTAATTTAATTATTGTTAAAACGAGATCAATATAAATTTAAATACTATGGGTGCGTCAAATACTAAAGACCTGAACCAATCTTAGAAAATTCCTGCAAACTAAGTAGCATCTATGTCAGGCAGTTTCTTCCAAGATGTGGATGAAAGCTTACTAGACAAAGATCCATTGCTGAAGACTATGACTATCCGTAAAAAGGTCTCAGTGCTGTAAGGAAATTAAACCATCAACTTTAATCTTGTTTAGATTTAAAATAAATGACATTAAGATGCCATTACTTAAGGCCATATTCTAGAGTAATCAGCCTGCTTCCCTGTAAATTAACAATAATAAATTTGTTGTGTTAGGGAGCAAATAGAAAATCAGAAGCAATCATCAACTAGAAGTGACTTTGAGCATGACTTGGTAATCTCATTTTGGTATGCAGTGCATTAGGAGAACTTTGAAATAGCCAGACATATTCTGAATCAGAACATCTACATTAGGTAGCTTGTGACACTTGCTCTCTTTAAGAAAAATAGCAGACTGAGCAAGAGCGATGACAAGGACACTGATATGATGAAGCGTTAGATATTTGAAGCGAGAAAGGAATTTGAAAAGTCTTAGCGAGACCTAGGACCTAGAACTCCTTCCCCTTTTGAATCAGGAAGTGAGCTAGACGAGTCATATAGGAACATGCAAGATAGTAAGTCAGATCATCAAGAAGAGTTAGTAAGATCGAGTAGAAGGGGGAGAGATAGAGGCAGAAATGGAAACTAGATCAAATCAGAGTAAAGAAATAGGAATGTATAGGACTTCATGAATTATGAAGGAGGCTCGGAGGAAGAAGATTTAGAGCAATCTATTTCATTGGCGGATAAAGAGGATTATGATGACGAAGATCCGTTAGATGATGGCAATCCTCCAAATTTAGACTTGCCATAAGAAGATGATGGAGATAGTGATAACAGCGAGACAGCAATTAACAAGAGAAACTAAGAACATTTGGAGTTTTTGAAGCAGCAGGGAATTACAGAGTATGACATTGATACAGTAGACATAAACTCCAAGGAGAAGATAGTGAAGCTGAAGAATGCCTTTAGAATCAGATTCTCTTCACTTATGACTAACATACTGAAGATCTTGCTATTTAGAGGGGAGGAGAAACTAGCATGCTTACTGACTGCATACTATGAGATAGCTATAGACGACGATATGATATTCAGAGCAGTTGAGAACATGCATTTCTACTGGCTGCAGTTTGTCTGGGCATTCAATAAAAATGTACTCGGGCCAAGAAACACCACTGATGCTACTCCAATCACTTACACACAGCTATTTGATATTGTTAAAAATATGTATGAAACTTCGAGTCAGATTAAAGAGGGAATTAAAATGATTTGCTAGTGGCTTTTGATTACTGATGATAACATTTTATTAGCGCTTTTGTATCACTACCAAGACAACCTTGCTCTTGACTACATGGGATATTACAATAAATTCCTAGACAAGGACCTCTTCTTATATTCAATGAACCATGGAAACAAAATGTTTCTGCAGTAATCACATCTCTTGATTGTTAATGATATTTAGACATGCTTTACTGATGGGTGCTTTTGACAAGACTATTTTTAAGGAAGAGGAAGTGATCGGCTAAATTCTGGTTATACTTAAGTATAAATAAGCATATTTAAAGATCATTATAGAGATGGGTGCAGAACTAATTTCCTGCTCAATGTATTACTTTTGATTGATATATCGCTCTGGAAGAATAAACATCTTAAGTAATTTAATCACATAATATAAATATCTAATTTATTTAGAGAGCTTATCCAAGTCTTTGAAGACTATGTAGAGCAGAGCTTTGAGTCAAACTTGCTGCTGCTTTCTTACAATCCTCTGATGAGTATTGCTTTGACCTCTGAGCTTCTGAAGTTTATTGCTGATAATAGGAAGAGATTTGAGAACGAGTGCAATAAAATCTATGATGACATATTGGAACTGGGTAAGATGTTCACCTCTAAGATTGACGATGAGAAGTACTATGAGAATCTGATTTTAGATAGAGATTTCAGAGATAGAAGCGTCCTAAAGATCATCACAGAAAGTTTATTCGAGCCTCTTATTCCTGAGGATGACCCTAAGCCTGAGAATTTAATGATTCAGCTCTGGCAAGGCAAGGAAGCAACAAGATGTGATGGCAATATTTACGGCTACTCTAATCTGATGCATATTATTTGGACTAAAGCTAAAAAGACTGGCGGCAAAGCCACATTCTTCGAACTTATATCTAACTTCTTTGAAGTGAACTACACTGTAGATTATACTTTCCAGTATAGATACAGAACCAGGTCAATCGCCTTTTACTTTAGAAAGGAATTCTTCAATGCTTTTATACTACTGATACTGTTCCAACTTATAAACTATGACTATCTCAGCTACTTTAGAGGACCCTCTTAATACTTGGCCTAGGAGCCTGACCCAGAAACTGGCTAAAATGTCACTGTGCTTACAAATATTGATATTGGGGGCTCTATTTATGATTTCTCTAGTGTGATTTTTCAGGAAGACAATTTAACTGATGAGGAGCGATATTAAAGAATCTATGATAACTAGATTAAATACAGAAGGTGGGAGTACTATATGTTAATTTTCAGTTGTTCCTTGCTATTTTCATTGTTCCTCAAATAGTTTTTCAATCTATTCTCCAGAGCAAAAATAGCAATAGATAAATGGACTTTAATTGACACACTTAATGGAGTACTCAATATTGCATCTTATGTTATAGTCATAAGTTCAAGCGCCTCTTCACTCAATAACCCTGAATTCAAAAACAACTTAGACTACATCATGATATTTGTTCTCATTCTATCTTGGATAAGATTTTTCATTTACTTCTTAGTGGTCAGAGACATATCTAAGATGCTTTTGACTATTTGGGAAATGCTTGCAGATACTCTCAGTTTTATATTCATTGTCGTTTGCTATTTTGTGATTACAGCCTCAGTTTTTACTACCCTTTATCAAGATTTGAATCCAGACAAGTTTGGAGGCTTGGCAATTTCACTAAGAACACTCTACGACTCAGCCATGGCAGTCTATGACTATAAAGGTATGGGAAGCCAAGAAGTTTCATTTTCAATCATTCAGATTATCCACATATTCTTCGCTAACATCTTACTAATGAACTTTTTGATTGCTATTTTATCTTACACCTACGAAAATATGCAGCAGATTTCAGTCTTCAAATACAAAGTTAACTTGTATAAATATTGCGAGAGATATCTAATTGCCTTCGAAAACGACTCATTTGGAGAGATCGTTTTGCATTCTCCTCCCACTAATTACTTCGTACTGTTCATACTTCCGTTTATGGTCAATAGAAATCTGATGAAGAGAGTTTCTAAAATATTTTCATATGGAATATTTTGGATTGAAAACGTGATATTTCTCTTTATATTTCTTCTGTACGAAATATTCTTGATACCAGTAGTTTATGTGAAAACATTTATCAACATCATTACATGCTCTGTAGGATTATTTACTATCATGTTTCATTGTGCAGCTTGGTTCTTCTCTGGATTTTTCTTCAGCTTTTTCTTGGTGTTTAGAGATATCTATTACTTGGCTAAGATTTTATCAATGCATTAGGGCTGTAGACAGGCTCTAGGTTTAGCTGATGAATTAAAAGAGGAAGTAATCGATAAAGAAGTGAAACTTAAAGTATATAATGAGATCAGAGAAACAGTTATCGAGGTTTATATAGATATTAGGAAACAGAACAAGGGTGGAGAGGAGTATGACTAATTTCTGGGCAATCTCAATGATCTAGATATATTGTAAATTCTAGAAAAAGACTCTGGCAAGTTTGAGGATGAGATTTTTGTCGTCAAGCAGAGTGTAATCCACGATGAGTGGAAAAAGAGGAAAGCAAGGCAAATTCTCAATAAGAAAAAATCACTAAACGGAGAGAAAGAAAGTGGCACAAAATCCCAATAGCTTTCTCGAAAAGGCACAGCAGTTAGCAAAGGCTTGATAACTCCTAAGGAGTCAGTTGCTTCAATATAAAAATAGAAAAAGACCTCAATGCTTCAAGATGTGCTTGGAAACAAAAAAGCTTCTGTAAGTACAAAGATTATGGAGGCAATGTTTTAAAAGCCTAAGACTCCTGATGATGCAGGATCAGAAAATGACATTGAAGAAGATGAAGATGATTCAGATGATAACAGGTAGGACAGTGAAATGGACTAGAATAAGTAGGAAGAGGAGATAGTTGAGGAGTACCTGAAGAAATTTGTGATAGTTAGTGAAAGCAGTACTCTCGACCACATAAACATAGTGATCATGCTCAAAGCCATTCCAAACCAGATTGTTGACTATAATCTTGAACAGAATGAACTATTCAACTTTAAGATCTTCTAGGATTCCTTGGTGGCCTTCTAAAACCTGGACATGGTCAACGCCTTCGAGTATTTCGACGAGAAAAATAGAGAGAGAGTTCAGAATGTAAAGGAAATGCTGATCAGTTAGAGAACCAATCTAAATTCAGTCCATGATATAATCAGTCATGTTAAGCATAAGGTCCAGAAGAATGAAGAAATCTTCGCTTAGTTTAACTTCTTAGAAAATTAGATGTCTGATGAGACTGTAACTGGAGGAGGTAGAAGCATTCTATTCAATAATGATTCTAACTCAAATAACAACTTTGATGATAACCTGACTGCCGATAATGAAAGCAGAATGAGCGCAGGCATTTTTAATAATACTCTACTTAAACTTAGAGGAAATAAATGATTTATCAGAGTATTCAAACTATAACAGCAAGGTAAAATAGATTATTGATTATAAATTTATTATTTCTTAATTTCATAAATCAATTTATGATGCAGGGGTTTTGGGGTTTTGGGGTTTTGGGG